GTTCGATTTTATGACCTTTTTAGGGTTTCACAAAGGGAAGACTAGGATGGAGGTCTTTCAATTTAGAGCTCATTTTTGTAAAAAGCATCTTGAGGCGTCGTTCGTCATTGCTTTTCTTTCCATTTTATCTGCTCAAGTTCAAAGCCTCTAGTCACCCGTGATTGGTATTATTGGAAAAGACATGTAGATTGGTCTGATGGAGTGCAGCCGCAAGAATTGAAATTGCAACTTTGGATGAGTATACAATAGAAACATGGGAAGTAAACCAAGGGATCAGTTGTTGAGAAGGGAGGAGAAAGAGAGAGGGAATATTGTGTAGGGGCGGTGAGGAGGGAGGAGGAGAAAGAAGGAATGAGAAACATGAGTTGTGCAGGGTCAGGATGAAACTTGGATTGTTTCTTCATGGAGAAAACGATGAAACCTGAATTGTAAAGGGAAGGATGAACCTCTGAAAGGATTAGTTGGGTATTTTATTAGAGGAGAAACTCCATCCCGGATCAAAGCTCCCCTTAAACTAGAAGCCACTTTGCGATCCAAATCCGCAAGCAGTGATTCCTCTGCAAGAAGGGTGAAGACGAAGACAGAGATGGAAAATGACCAACAATCTACTTATTATATCTTCTTGAATTTTACTTTGAAATTTTGAAGAATAATAAAAGGAAAATTCAACATTTTTTCCGATTAGCACTTGACGATGATATCAATTGTTAAAAACAATAGGGGTACTTTAAGACAATATGTAAATAGCAAGAGTAGAGCTAGCCAATTAGCTAAAACCATAAGAATAGTTTAAGAAATGTCTTTAAAAACGGGTAGATTACAGATAAGTACCCTGTACTTTGGGGGTAGTGACACTTAGGTGCTTTGAACTTTCAATTGCAACACTTGAATACCTTGAACTCTAAAAAATAGACACTTGGGTCTATCTATTAGTATTTCGTTAGTTAAGCATTACATAATGTCAAAATTACCCTTCTCATGTATTTTTTAGATCATTTTACGAAGTAAAATCATCACCAAAGAATGCCGTCATAAAAAAATTTGAATATGTTATTTGCTACCCATGTGAGAATATCATCATGGGGAGATGTTCGATTACTTGAGAATGATCTCAAAAATACACAAGAATGATATTTTTTGCATTATGTAATGTTTAACTGACAGAATACTAACGGATGAACCCATGTGTTTATTTTTTAGAAGGTTTATGAGAATCATAATAACCTCCCTGAGGTTTTACTTTAGTAAAAAGCTTTACTATAGTTTCACAAAAACCTAAAGTTACCTCCCTTCCATATTTGTCATGGGAATGGAGACAAAGTTATGAATACCCTTACAACTTAGTGGGGCATCTTTCAATATAATTCAAAATGTTAGGTTTGACCTTCTAGATTTCACTATACCTAATGTTTTTATAGAGTAAAATATTTTTTTTAATCTTACTTGAGGAATTTTTAAGTAAAAGTAAAAAAAAAATCTTTTGAGGGTATTTTAATAAATTTTCATATGAATTGATAAATATAAAGGTAAAATGGGTATTCTTGAAAAACTAATGCATTTGGCCAACATTTCCGGTCTAAGACAATGATAAAAGGGAGGTAACCACAGGTTTTTTTAATGCTATAGGGAAGGTTCTTACAAAAATGAAACCTCAGGGGAGGTTTTTATGATGGTCAGCTAGTAGTATGTTCTATTGTTCAATATTGTGGTCGTTTTATTGAAAAAACTTTTTGTACATGATATATATTGAAAAATGAGAAAAGTAATTAATAAACATGTATTGTTGTTGTTTGATGGGTAGTGCCATTAAATGTCATTAGGCACCACATAAGCTGCAATAAATAAATGCATGGGTGTTAGCATAAACATAAAAAATGAAGTTTCTCTCAATGGTTAGCTCTCACACAAACTAAAACAAACGTTTTATCTAATAAAATGTTTTACAAAATAGTATTTTAGAATAAACGCCTATGTAGTGATGAGTTGACACCGTTTTTCAAATAAACAACCACGAAACAAAGCACTATTTAAATCCCTTAAAAATCATTTTTATCAATTAAAAATAAAAAATATAAAATGCTTTCATTACTATGCTTCAACTTGCTGCCCATGCTTCAACTACCATGATGATGTTGTTAAGAGAACAAATTTAAGATGCTTTCATAACTATAAGCTCCTCCCTCTTCATTGACTAAAGCATTGAAATTCATTTTTATTTGGTGGAGCTTAGGAGATTTTCACCTAATTCATATTAGCTCTTTAGTGGACAACTTTGGGTTATCATCAAACAGTTAATGTAGTCATTTAATTCAATCGTAGCTAGCTCTATTATGCCCATTTTGGAAGACTTTCACATAGTGGCTTTTGGCATTGCAAGGTAGGCCCCATATGAAAAGCTATGAAATTATGTTTTGTAAAAAAATGAAAAAAAAAAACAAAAATACTTGCATTGAGCTGAGAAATCTACTCTCTAGTGAAGTTAATTTTGGAAGCTTCTTTGAAGCGGCTCAGTTGACGCAGCTCAATCAACGTTGAAGTTATCCCAAACAGGCCCTTAATCTCACGTGATTGGGCTTTTGACTATAAAGAATACAAGAGTTTCTTTCTTTTCATATCTTCCAAATTATGTAGGCTGTCTTCTTCCACGTATTGTTCACATTATTGTGTTTGTTTGTTATTCTTAGGCTTTTTAGCATCCCAGTAATAAGTCTTTCATTACCTAATGGGTCCAGATGTAAGTGGTTCATAAGAGCCCATACCTGCATCCTCTCCCATAACGTTTAAGGACCAAAGAAAGTATTTTTATTTTGGGCTGTATTCTTTTTTTCTTTTCTTATACTCGGACAATCCAGTTATTATCATTTGGGCTTTGAGCTTGAAGTCAAGTGGCTGAGTTTATGGTGAATTGTTGACCTTCTATCCTCTTGTTTCGATTTGGGTACAAAGTTACCCTCCAAAAATTTCCTTATGCCCATTCATTTTCAGCAAATGGAAACCAACAATTCCATGTTAGCATTTTGATAAATTGTTGGTCTCACACTAAGTATATCTTTGGTTCTACTAGAGTTTACCGAGAGGCCATTTATTACTTTAAACGTTTATTTGTACCATCTTACTTTAAACATTTTTCACTTTAAATGTTTTTTGCTTTTATTTTTTTATTTGATTATACATCACTTTAAATGTTTATTACTTTCCACCTCAGATTAACACCTATAAAAGCATAATACATCAGCATTTCATTTCAAAAAATATAGGGGTGTTAGGGGAAATGAAAATTTGGTGTTTTCCCTAAATGCCCCATGCACAAAAAAAAAAAACCAAGCATTTCAATTTCTTAGTGCTTATTTGATAAATGGTGAAACCAAACAATGGTTTCATATGCAATAAACACAAATGCCCATGTGGTGCTGATGTGGCGGCTTTTTTCAGTAAACACCAACTGAACCAAACATCCCCTAAATTACTTTACATTGGATCTCATCTCCTCATGTAATCACGTGCATATGTAACTTTCTCACTTGGGAGAAGTTATCACAATATTATAAACACTTTTGAACAAAAGAACATACATAAATGCACTTATGCTAGTGGGATATTGCTATAATCCCGTTTTTTCCATCAACTAAAAAAGTTGCTTATTTTACCACCAAGTCGATTAGGGGACCTGTACTTGTCTAGTTGTCATCCTATAACTGTATTTATTACTCCATCATATGCATTTATCTAAAAGGCTCCCTTCTTTCAAGTTCCCATTCCAACCTAAAGACATCCCATTTTTTGGGTTGCTTCACTTGGGCTTTGCCTTTTTAAGCATTTGCTTAAAACCACTATAACCCACAAACTATTTTAGTCAAAGAGGACTCTCTATCCTAATCTCACCAATCACCATGCATGCCTTATTGTTTTACTTCCTTTAACTATACTTTTTAAAAACATGATCAACACTCTTCTCCTCACCACAATCGCTACACGACCCATCTATATTGACCCTTTCTTTCTTAACAAATCCTTTGTAGGCAATCTCTTACAAAGGAGAAAGGGAAAAGTTTTTACTTTTGGGGGCATTTTAGTTTCCAAATATTTGCATTCCATAAAAAAATTTGACTCATAGTTTTTGTTTGAATTGCATTTGGTGGTATATGTTATTTTGATTGAGAAATTGCCATTTAGGCTTAGTCTCCAGATAAAATTACCCTCATTGTCTTCCTTAGGGATGCAAATGGACTATGTTCGACCACATGATGGGGAACGGGATCTGCTCCTCACACATGGGTGCCTCACAGGCACATCCACTGTGCATTGTAAACATCTCCTATGAATAATAACTTATAAGTATGGGAGATGTTTCCAATGCATGATAGGATGTGCTTGTGAGGCACCCTGTATCTGTGTGAGGAGATGATCCGGTCTCACATGATGGTGGGAACCAATCTTCTATTTTTTTTCTTTGTTCCAAACCTTTCTCTCTTCATCCATAACATCACATCACAAAGCATCAAATTGATGTTTCCACCCAAGTCCTGATCCACCGCATCATAAGGGGTGTGTCCCACCCAATTGTCTTTATAGAATTGATTAATTTCCCATTAATGACCATCCAATTCTAGAAGGTCTCCCGTTGGGAGGCTTCCTCTTCAAGCCCAAGAAGCCCCCTTTTGGCTTCCAACATGCCACAACCTTTTGTCTTTTAGATGCTTGCTTTTCATTACTTGAACCCATAGGTTATCATAGTCTTTAGGCTGAGTTTGGAAGGAGTGTAAATGCAAATATGTAGAATGCAAAACCTTATATTTTGTATTATTTTCTATGTATTTACACTGTACATATTTGCATTTGTACTGCTTCCAAACTGAGCCTTAGGATTTTCTATCCTAGTTTTACCAGATTTACTTCATTCACCCATTGAAGGTTTTTTAAGCCAAGCCCTCCCCTATTTATAGGAGAAGACACTGGATCCCACTTTAGCTGAATGTTCAGCTCAGCCCTTTTAAACGGGCACAGAATAACTTATCCGGAGAACTTCAAAGCAGCTGAATCTTCAGTTCAGCCCTCCCAAACAGGCCTTTAAAGTCCAGGATTCAGGGCCATAGGGGCTACAAAGCACAAAACTACAAACCCAGGCTACAGACGGGATCCGATCCAACTATTCGGAAAATGCATCAACCAACTTTGAGCAGGCTAACAACCTTTGGGCCAGATTCGCTGCTAAGGCCGACGAAATTACTTATAACTGCATAGCGCGGCTGGCAGGCCGGCATAGCTATTGATCTAAACATTTTCCCTATAATCGACTGAAATATCTCCTACTACAGAACATTTTTTGGTTTTTATCTTGGGCGACATCAACTGAATTTCATAGATCGAGCATTTTTCCTTCCATGGAAGAGTACCCAGAGGAGCTCCGAACTCCACCAGTTTCTCTGGTCTCTCTGGTAGGTTGTCCCGAGCTTCACTCGACGATTTCAACTTATCTTCACTCGGAGCAGCCCCCCATCAACACTTTAGCATTACCGGATTTCTCGAAGATCTCCGTACTGTCTAGGTCGAAGAAGGAAACCCTAGATTCTGGTCAGCCCGGCGGGATCTTGAAGCGAGATTGGTTATTGAAGCACCGAACCAGGAGTCCTGCCGTCGTTGCTGCTTTGTTTGGTTCAGATGACGTTTCCGGCGACCCCGCGCAGTGGCTTCAGGTCTGCACCGAACTTGAAAATCTAAAGTACGGACTTCTTCCTTCTTTTTTTATTATTATTATTATTATTTTTTTAAATCTGTTTCGATTGTCTCATTTTTGAGTTGGCCGAGTTAAAACCTTTCAATTAGGAAGTTGTTCAAATCGAACGTATACTTTAAAGCACGCATTCAACCCTTAAACTGGACGCAACTTGCGCATATAATTCCTGAAGTTCAGTTGGGAAAAGTTCGCATTGGGTTCTAAGTTTTTCAAATTGTTTCTAGATTGAATTATCTATTAAGGGGCAGCTTCCTTGTCAGAATGATCTATGGCCACGTTTAAGTCAGATAAAATCAAAGAAATAAAATGTACTTCATCTGGAAATCAGGAACGAACTGAAGTGTGATGAATCATCATTTAAGATGGTGGCTTCTGCTCTTTCGCACACAAGTAAGCATGCCAATGCAGAAGGAAATGAATTCCAAACAGAAACCTTATATACTCATCTATCTGAAAAGAAAAGGCTGGAATTGGAATTGAATTCAAACAAAAGTTATGAAACCTCAGGTTCATAATTTAGGGGGGGGGGAGGTTTGACACCTTCTTGAGTAAAGGAAACGCAAGACAGACACGTTATAATATGTTATACATCCTGATGTATTTTATTTGCGTTCTATGATACATAAAATTATATTATTTGTATTTGCATGTTGCCCATTACATATTTGCTTTGGTTCTTGCTGCCATACTTATTTTCTTAGATTCAATTGCTGTCATACTAGTTTGTTTGGATTCACTATTCTATTGACTTGTTGCTTTGATTATTTGTTTGGATTCTTGTGGTGTGAAAAATTCATGATTTTAAATACACATGACTACTTTCCTGATTTTTTTTGGTAACAGATAAACTACTTTTCATTCAGACTGGTAGACGAGGAAGCACAGGCCTGATTAGGGGACTCAATCCACTTTGCCAGCCAAAAAGGCATGGCGTCAGTGAAAGGCCCCTCACCTTTAAGACCTTTACAAGCTAGCTTATGAGCTAAGAGTATTACAGTTCCTGCTTGCAAAAACAAAAATCAGAAATTACACCCTCGCAGATACTTAACAAGTCCTTACACAAAAAATAAGCTTCCTTGGCTAAGTTCAGATCCTTTAATCTGAGGACCTGGATTAGAGTTCGGTTGTTGCTTTCCAAAATGATAGGTCTGGAGATATAGTTATTGGCAAGAGATACTCCCTTTATGCATGCTATAACTTCTGCTTGGAATGGGGTTGAGCTCACACAGGGGCCATAGGAAACAGCAAAAACTTGGCCCAGATGATTCCTGATAACATCTCCAAAATCTGCCCGACTTGCCTTTATAAAACTACGATCTGTGTTGAGCTTCAAAAAGTTTTCCTTAGGAGCTTTCCAAAAAACCTCTTTGCTGGCCTCCGGGTTAGGAAGTGAAGAATTTTGCCATTTTGGCTGCAAAATTTTCCTCCTCTCTGTCCAGGATCTGTTACAAGAATAGAGAGTTTTGTTAGGGTCCGGCTTTAGATCTTCAAAAAAACATTTGTTCCTAGCTCTCCACATATTCCAAAGCAGAAAATCTGAATAGCCAAGTAAATCTTCTTTCTTTCCTTTGAAGAAGAATGTCTGTTTTGCCACCATTTGAACCAATCTAGAAAAGAAGCAAACAGAGCAGTACAGCAAGTGTCATAGCCAAACAGAGATCCAAACCAAGTTAGTTTTGCATGATCACATCTGGAGAGGGCATGCAGAATCGATTCTGATTCTTTCCCACAGATTTTACAAATAGAAGAGTCCGAGAGTCCTCTTTTTCCAAGGTTCTCTTGGACTGGGAGGCTATTCCAACAACACCTCCATAGGAAAATCTTGATTTTTGAGTCACATTTCAATTTCCAGATTTCCTTCTAGATTTTGTTATGGGATTGATGCTGGACAGAATCTAAGACAAAGGATTGCTTGAGGGGAAGTTGTTTAGCTATATAGTAAGCAGATTTTACACTGAAACTACCTGAAGAGTTAACCTTTCCAAATTAGTCTGTCTTCTCAGTTCCCTGAGCTAAAGGAATTTTAAGGATCTTGTTTGCTACCTTTGCCAGGAAAGTATCATTTATTACATTTTCTTTCCAACATCTTCTGTTCTCATCAATTAAATCACTAACCCAAGTAGGACCATTTGTCCTTGGTTCCGGACCCATTATTCTAAAAGAGGAAGGTCCTCAATCCAGGGATCTTTCTAGATTTTAACTCCCGAACCTGAGTTTACATCCCAGCAAGCCCCAAGCTTAAGAATCTCCCTGCCCATAAGTAAACTATGCCATCCCCATGATCCCCTTTTTGGAAGATTGTCATTTAGGAAATCTTTGCCCTTTAAATACTTTGACTTTATAACCCTGGCCCAAAGATTATTCTCTTCCACACAAAGTCTCCATCATAATTTTCAAGGTGCCAAGGCGAGGCTAGGCGACAGGGGGGCGCCTTGTCGCCTAGTTGCCTAGGCGGGCACCTAGGCGATGGGTTTTTTTATGTAGAAAACATAGATCCTAGGGTAGTTCCCTAGGTACCATAACCATATTTCCTTAAGAATTATTCATAGTTTTCATAAGAAAAGTAGAGAGTTCATGTTAAAGTATAGAAAATCAACATATTCATGAGAAGAAATAGAAGGAAAACAAAATTCAAAAAATATAGGGGCTGAACCCTTATTTTGTTATAGGAAAAGAAGAAAAGAAAATGATTGATCAAAAAAAAAAAGAAGAAAAGAAAATGTGTTGATTAGAAAATGTGTAGTAGTAGTAGTAGTAGAAAATGTGTTGATTAGACAATATTTTAAGTTCTTCCTTACTTATTGGTTCAGGTTTTAAAGTCTTTGGGGGTTCAATACAGCAGTTAGCAATGTTTATATTGATTAAACCTTAACAAATAAGAAAATAATAAAAAGAAATTAGTATATAAACACACAAAATGAATATTTTAGTTTAATAATGCCCATTTTATAATTATGATGTCAAAAAATAAAGAATATAAAATTATTTTATAATACATAGTACAAAACTGTTTGGCAATTAGGCGAGATGAGCCTCAAAGGGCACCTTGTCGCCTAGGCGTCGCCTTGACAACTATGGTCTCCATGCCTGTTTAGCAAGAAGTGCTAGATTGAATTTATGAGGGTCTCTGAAACCCAAACCTCCATAATTCTTGTTTTTACTGATTGTTTCCCAGTTAACCCAATGAACCTTCTTCTTTGTTCTGTCAACACCCCACCAGAACTTTGTCTGAGATTTAGCCATTTCATTACAGATAGCTTTTGGGAGGAGGAAACAAGACATAGCATAAGAAGGAATTGCAGCTATGACTGACTTTAGGAGAACCTCTTTGCCCACACTTGAGAGCAACAAGTCATACCAGTTTGTAGTTTTACTATTTATTCTACTTAAAAGATAATGGAACAACCCTTTTTTGGTTCTGCCTATAAACGTGGGGAGGCCAAGATAAATGCCTGGCTGGTTCACTTTTTTAATACCTGGACTCTTTGCTAACATTTTTTGTAATCTCGGGAGAAGGTTTTTACTGAAGAAAATCTCAAATTTTTGGAGATTTACCTGTTGGCCAAAAGACTTCTCATAGAGATTGATTGCGTCCATAATCCTCTGACCTTCATCTGGGACAGACCTTGTAAAAGAATAATTGTCATCTGCAAAGAAAAGGTGAGAAATCACATGGCAGTCTCTATTTAGCTTTATTCCAGAGAGTTTTTTTTTGGGAGACAAGACTCTGAAGATAGGCCGATAATGCTTCAGAACAAAAGAGAAAAAGATAAGGAGATAGAGGATCTCCTTGTCTTATTCCTCTCTCAGACCAAATTGTTTTCCCTGGGGCTCCATTTATGAGAATTTGATAGGACACTGTTGTGATGCAGGACATTATCCATTCTATCCATTTTTTTCCAAACCCCATTTTGCCCATGACTTTTTGAAGGAAAACCCATTCCACCCTATCATACGCCTTACTCATATCCAGCTTCAAATCCATCCAAGTCTTTTTTCCTTTTGTTTTTTTTTTTCATGAAATTCTGGAATAACAACAAATATGAAGTAAAATGGCTAGATGATGAAGTCTTGTGGTTAGTTTTTAAGAAAAAAGCGGATGTTGAAACATTCCTGAGTCAAGAGCCTTGGCTCATTCAGGGTTACCCCCTCCTGCTAAAGATTCAATCCCTAGAAATCTTACTTTCACTGACATGGGAATCCATATCAGAATTCTAGATGTCTCCATGGAAAAGAGATTTTGGTCTTGGGGAGCCAAGATGGTGAGTTGCATAGGTACCCCAGTCCCCTTGGAAAAGGAAGAGGATAACCAGGAAGTTGATGTACCTATTTGGGAAAGGTCGTACCATATTAGGGTCATCCTGGATATCAGAAAACCCTTGTCTTTGGGAAATTCTGGCCTCGAAGAGGATGGTTTAGTTAAATGGTACCCCTTTCAATACGAAAAGCTTCCTACTTTCTGTAATCGATGTGGCTTTTTAGGTCATCGAGAATTTAACTGCAAAAGAATCTTTGAAGAACAGTTTCTTGAACAACTTACTCATAGGATGGTTTCTCAGGCTATGGGTCCTAGAAGGGGTAGAGGGTTTTACGGTGACTGGTTAAAATCCAATATGGAAGATTCTGATTTCAAAATGATCAATCGGAGTTGGCGAGAAAGTGAGCATACTCAGCAAAATGAACGGAGGGGAGATCAGGAAGAAGCAAGCAGGGATCAACTCTTGATCCAAGATGAACCATTACCTAAGGTCTCGCAGAGAGAGTTACAAATCGGCGGGCACATCAAATTAGTAATTTGTCTATTAGGAGTTTGTTTCAGGAGAGCCTGGTACAAGAAATGGCCTCAAATCTAGTTTGGAATGATAGAGGCAAAATTTAGGTGGTCCTTTCGCTGGTGAGCTCTGACTGGAGACAACAATGAGCTACTAACGGAGGAGGGTCTGGTAGCTTTTCTAAAGCTCTGCAGTTGGAGAGACACGGGACTG